TTCCTCCCCTCTGTGAATGATATAAACAAGCACCGAAAACAACCCTATGCCATGCATTAAATAAGCCAACCTCTAAACTACCCACATTATCCAGTGAGAGGATTTTTTTCCTGAATCAGACATTGATCATAATGGTCAAAATAATCCTTGGCACTTTCTCTAAGCTTGCTCATTATCATTCAATATGTTCAGCAGAATTATTAAATTTAAAATAATATGGTGCACCTGGTTGAGATGACGGTGAGAGATTTGGCTTCCTGTCTCTTCGTTAAGGATGAATTTGGCCCAAGGGTGTACTATGAACTTGGCAAATAGCATTATAATAGTGAGAGAATATTGCCTATTGGGTAGCAGGAGTTGATGATTAAATTTAAGTGTGTACTGTCCACATAAAACAAATAATGCTCTTTTTTTCTAACTTTTACTGTGAACATTCATCACTGGTGCTGGAGATGCACAGTTGCTAATTATTGTGTTTTTAACTTGTAATATACTGTAAATTTTGTATAATACTACTCTGACCTTATACAGAATAGAAAAGATGACAGGAGGCCTGTAATTATTGTATGGGAAAGAAATGCCTATAATTATCTACTATTTTTAGGACCAGTGTGCATGGCCTCTTAATTTTCATAAGCTTTAGACATTCACACATTTCCTATCTTTGCGTGTGGATGATAAATTTTGCTCAAATGAAATCAGAAGACATTCTGTTAGATGAGGAGTTAGCCAACTGGGAGCTTGATTACAATGAACAACACAAGCTTTGGTGCCAGCTAAAAAAGCGAGCATTTATTTGGATGAAATTTGTTTAAAGCAAGATTCAAAACATTAAACACACACACACACAGACACCATATTACTATATTGGGGCCTGAGAACGTGATTATTTGTTAGAGAATTGGTTAAATTACCTTGTGGAAAAGCATTAACCTAACAAAGAGAAAACCTCTAGGACATTTATCACATGTAGGGTGATTATGACAGCATGTTCTTATTAGAGATGAATATTTTGTGCTCATTAAGGTTACCCCCTTGAGTGTTCAAGGATGCAAAGTGTATTGCAGTGAAGTGCTATAGTCCTATTGTCTTGTGAGCACTTGCCGTTGGCTGGGGTGTTTCCTTCCAAGTTAAGGGGCCTCTAGTCCCAGCCCTGGCAGGGCCTGTATCAAAGCCACTGGGTAAATGGAACAGACTGGGAGGGTTTTAATTCAAACACTGCAGGGATCTATCTGCAAGAACTGAGAGTGCTATCGAGAAATCTCTGGTCTCCTAGTGTGGGATAGCAGCGGGGAAAGGCGGATGGACTGGTGAGGAGTTAGACGGGATCAGGCAGTTTAGGGTAAAGACCGTGGGGAGAGAAGAACCAAGATGGCGGCATAGGTTAACGCCGGAGTTTGCCGCCTCGAACAACCATTTCAAAAGTGAAACTAAAAGACGGAAGGGACATCATCCAGAACCACAGGAACGCTGGCTGAGTGGAAGTCCTACAACTAGGAGGAAAGAGTAACGCATTCGGACACTCAGAGGAGGCGC